ATATAATATATAATATTATATATATATAATTTAAAATATATATATATTTTAAGATATATTTCTTTAATGTTATAATTTGTTTACTAGAGGGAATAGGACGCTTAGGAAATTATATAGATGTGACGTTGAGTTTTTCTAGTATATTCGAAACTTGTTTATAAATACGATATGATCTGTATAGAGTTTTTCCAGATAGAGAGTCAATCAGTCACCGTGTATTATCTATTGCTGTTATTTTGTACAAATAAGTTGATTTGTTTTGTGTCAGTTAACGCCATTTCTGATGTAGGCCTAAGGCAACTTATGACAGAGTACAAGTGTTTAAGTTTGTAAAAATCTTAAAAGAAGAAATAAAGTAATTTATTATCGTGACGTGGATTGAACTAACCACTTGATCCTGCACGTTATTTATAATTTACATTTCTTCTAGACTCGAGAAGAAAAGAGAAAATTTGGTTTTCTCTATATTTCACAAAGTTTGAGATGTTGTTAATAAACTCTATCTAATGGCTAAGTCATCTAAAATTAAAAAAAAAAAACATATCTTACTACAATATACATACCAGTCATACCTCAGATCTTCCGAAATTCGCATATTAAAAACCATAATTTATCACTGCATGCGACAGATCACGAACAAAGGTTTTTATTGATAGTTCAAGAGTGTACAAATACAAAAAAATATCCTGCTATTTTCTTACAGTACATCCATAATTGTGATATGAGAAGTACAATGAGGTAACGAAAAAATATCCATTATCATGTTGTCTGGTTTTAGGAATCCAAAAGATTATTTAAGAATGCAACAAAAACGCCGCAAATCCAAACAAACAAATATAATCAATTTTGTTTGCAAAATGTGTTTTGATAATAGTTATGAACGTATATATGTGTATTTTGAGCTGCTTATCTCACCAGTGACATTAAGTATTTCAAGACTTCTGACTGAAAATTCGTATTTATTAATCACTGAGATAAGTAATCAACATTATATTTTCTAGAAAGAGCCGTTTTCAGCTAACAAGCTGCTGCTTATATGGGAAACGAGTGTACAGCCATCAAGAAAACAACGGGCAAAATGTAATTAATATAGCGATACGGTATAGTTTACGAATGTTTGATTTTATTACACTGCTATTTTGATTTCAAATTTTAGAAGAGTGATAGAAGGCAGTAAGTGAAGACCAGAAGCGTCGAGAACCAGCACGGGCCCCGGGGCAAACATCCTCCCCGGGCCCTTTTTCTTTTTTAACATTTTCAAGAATTTATTAAAAAGAAGATCCTAAATTAGGACAGCAACGACCTCATAAACCAGACAAAATCATAGCAGCAGCCATTTTTACCTCACAGTATAAGCGTAAAAACGTTAATAAAGTAACAACAAATATCTATTAAATCTTTAAAGTAACAAATACATATTAATTATTACTCAAATTATTATTTCAGTCGTTCTTAATGTATCAAGCGTCTATATGCAAAGAAAACTGTGATTTTTATCATTAAATGAAGATATAGCCTAAAGATGCTTTGCGTGCTTTACGGCATAACCAGGTTTCATTCGCCTTTGAGAAAGGAAGACAGTGAATATAATGAAACCGTCTTTATTCACGCTCACGAACACTGCTGAAATGGTGTGTATATTTGGACGACAGACAGCGTCTTTACTGGCAAAATTCTTTATTTATCGTTCCAGAAATGGTAGAAGTTTCTAAATCTGTTCTCGACTGAAGAAACATAGCGTTATATACACGACACAAAATTGCAAAGTCTCTCAGGACGCATGTGACAACGTGACGGGACAATGTGTAGGTAGTGAGTAATTGAACTGCAGTCAGAAAGTATTGTTGAAGTTAACGGTCGTTGTTATAGCGTTTGTTATAGAGCGACTGTTGAAAATAAGTGTATCGGTAAAGTTGTATTCAGAAAGAATAAACCAGTGTTATTAAGAAAGGTCTTGTGTCGCTAAAGTTTCGTCGGAACGAATTTACGGAAAGTTAACTAACGAACGTAGACGTAACAATATAATTATTTTATTTTGCTTTACACACTGAAGATGAAATCTGTTCAATTTCCAAACGTTTATCCGTGTCTCCTTCTATTATAATAATTATTGTTTTTAAGTATCTTACCCTTTTTATTGTGAAAAACTAGGTGATAATTTAGAACACCAGTCTTTACTGACCAATGCAGCAGGCACTTACAACAAACAAAGTGTACTTTAAAGATAATAGTATGATGGGAAGTGATGTCGGCGAGTTGTGTACGTCTTGTATAAGGTTTGGTTTTTGAATTTCGCGCAAAGTTACACGAGGGCTATATGCGCTAGCCGTCCCTAATGTAACAGTGTAAGACTAGAGGGAAGGCAGCTAGTCATCACCACCCACCGCCAACTCTTGGGCTACTCTTTAACCAACGAATAGTGGGATTATAACGCCCCAAAGCTGAAAGGGCGAGCATGTTTGGTGTGACGGGTATTCGAACTCGCGACCCACAGATTGCGAGTCGAGCGCCCTAACCATCTGGCCTTGCCGGGCCGTCTTGTATAAGCTTCAGGTTTGCAAATATCAAACTCAAATTTGTAATTATTCCTCATT